GTACCGATGTTAAACGGTAAACGAGTTAAACGACTGATTAAACGAAAATAACGTAACACCGTGTAGCGTTTACACGTTATCTGAATAGCTGTTTAGTTGAGCAGTGCTTATGGATGCGCCGAGGAACGGAACAGCGACCGAGCGACGAGCCGACGAGGTGGCGGCGGGCGGCACGCGAGCGTGGTGTGCTGGTGCCGGAGCATGCAAGGGTGGCGGCGCCTTGACGCAGTCGCAGTGGAAAACTGGAAATGCTGCAGCGCGCGCGGGCGTGGCCAATGGCACGGGGCTTGCCGAAGCCGAGTGTGACGTGTGAGGTATGCAGTACCATCCATCCATTATCCATCACTAATACTAGCAGTTAAGCGAGTACGTAAGTACGTACTAGGTAGGATGTATACGGTGATCGGCCGATCGGGTGCCTGGTACTCTGATAGTAGTAATAAACACTCGTTCTCTTACAGAAACCGCCTCCTGGATGGCTGGATCTTTGGAGCTTCCCTTCCATATAATAATATTGGAGTAGTACACTCGCTCACGCTCCGTACAGTTGACTCGGTCAAGACCATGACTGGATTCGACCTGTCTCTGACTTTCTGGGACCAGCGTTGTCCAAATACGGTGTGTCATCGTATACTCACTCACCAGGGAGAACAGGAGAAGTACAGGCCATTTTGTACCCCTGCACGAGCAGAGCACGTGATCTGCCGGGACAGTGAGCGTCCACTGATCGCCCTCCACTCTTCTTTTGTACACAGTCACGGATGTTCCCTATATAATAACAGGGCCAAGGACTAGCCAGCCTGCAGAGCCAGCCACCACGCTAGGACCACTCGGCCTGCCTGCCTCTGCCTCACGTAGCTAGCACTCACTAGCAGCGAAGAGCGAGGAGCGAGAAGGCACGGTAACTCCGGCGGCATTCGCTGCTGGTACACACCAATAATCGAGCAGCGTGAGAGAGAGTGAGAGTGAGAGAGAACCGAGCCAGAGGCCGGCCGGCACACCGGGACACGGCCAGTACAGAGAACGAAAGCTAGTGCCAATAATCGGTAGATCTACACCACCGACACTTGGCCATGAGCACGTCGGGCACGGACGCCGTCGCGGTCGCCGTGGCGCCGGCGAAGCGCCCGCCCATCAACAAGTACGCCTGCGCCTGCGCCCTGCTCGCCTCCATGAACTCTGTCCTCCTCGGCTATGGTAGGTTCGGTTGTGTCCAGTACGTACGGACGTGCATTTCATTCCGCCTCGCGCGCGTCCTAGCTGCTAGTAGTTCGTTCATCATGCAAGCATGCACGTAATTAACACAGCTGTTCTTCGTTGGTCGGCCATCGATACGATCGAGCAGACATCTCGGTGATGAGCGGCGCGCAGCTGTTCATGAAGGAGGACCTCAAGATCACGGACACGCAGATCGAGATCCTCGCCGGCGTCATCAACATCTACTCACTGTTCGGCTCCCTCGCCGCGGGCCTCACCTCCGACTGGCTCGGACGCCGCTACACCATGGTGCTGGCGGCCGCCATCTTCTTCACGGGCGCGCTCCTCATGGGCCTGGCCCCGGACTACGGGCTCCTCATGGTGGGCCGCTTCGTGGCCGGCATCGGCGTCGGCTTCGCGCTCATGATCGCCCCCGTGTACACCGCCGAGGTGGCGCCCACCTCGGCGCGCGGCTTCCTCACCTCCTTCCCGGAGGTGTTCAACAACTTCGGCATCCTCCTCGGGTACGTCTCCAACTTCGCCTTCGCGCGCCTGCCCGTGCACCTCAGCTGGCGCGCCATGTTCCTGGTCGGCGCCGTGCCGCCGGTCTTCCTCGGCGTCGCCGTACTCGCCATGCCGGAGTCGCCACGCTGGCTTGTCATGCGGGGCCGCATCGACGACGCGCGCCGTGTACTGCAGAAGACCTCCGACTCCCCCGCCGAGGCCGAGGAGCGCCTGCTCGACATCAAGAAGGTGGTCGGCATCCCCGAGGGCGTGTCCGACGCCGACGACGTGTCCGCCATCGTCCGCGCCAACAACAAGCAGGGCTCGCTCCACGACGGGGTGTGGAAGGAGCTGCTCATCAACCCTTCCCGCCCCGTGCGCCGCATGCTCATGGCCGGGCTGGGCCTCATGTTCATCCAGCAGGCCACGGGCGTGGACTGCGTGGTCATGTACAGCCCGCGGGTGTTCGAGCGGGCGGGCATCAAGTCCAAGACCAACTCGCTGGGCGCGTCCATGGCGGTGGGCGCGTGCAAGACCTTCTTCATACCCATCTCCACGCTGCTCCTGGACCGCATCGGCCGGCGCCCGCTGCTGCTGGCGAGCGGCGGCGGGATGGCCATCTTCCTCTTCACGCTGGCCACGTCCCTGCACATGATGGACCGGCGCCCCGAGGGGGAGGCCGCGGCGCTGGGCGCGGTCAGCATCGCCGCCATGCTGTCGTTCGTGGCGTCGTTCGCGTCCGGCCTGGGCCCCGTCGCCTGGGTCTACTGCTCCGAGATCTACCCGCTGCGGCTGCGCGCGCAGGCCGCCGCCATCGGCACGGGGCTCAACAGGATCATGAGCGGCGCCACCACCATGTCCTTCCTCTCGCTCTCCAACACCATCACCATCGCCGGAAGCTTCTACCTCTACGCCTGCATCGCCGCCGCAGGGTGGGTGTTCATGTACTTCTTCCTGCCAGAGACGATGGGCAAGAGCCTGGAGGACACCGTGAAGCTCTTCGGCAAGGACGCGGACGACGAGGACGTCGGCGACAGCCGTCGTCACGGGCCCAGTCAGAAGCCCTCCACTGAGCTGAGTGCTCAGCAGTGAGTAATGTGCCATGCAACACGTGTCCTCCCGGGTGTGGCCGAAGCTTATTCCGTAAAGCTTCGATGATTACAGCATACACAGTACACTAGTACTAGTATTTTGTGTGCTCGTGCGTGGTGAATCTTTGTAGATCCCGTGCCTCCTTCATTTTTTAAGATTTGTAGATTTTTTTTATCTCGTGGCGTGCGTGTGCGTAGGGAGGGATTAGGGACGCAACACGGGCAGAAAAAAATATCACCTGATATTCCACGTGTGAAAAATATAGTGAGTTTGTCTACTGAACAAACGGTTGTTTTTGTTGTCATTCAATAACCGATTGTTTCAAATGAAAGAAACAACAAAAAAAAAAAAAAGACAAAAGAACACTACCGGATACAGGAGCTTTGCCGAGTGTCAGGGGCACTCGGCGAAGCCCTAAAAACACTCGGCAAAGGGTTCCCTTTGCCGAGTGTTACACTCGGCAAACGACACTCGACAAAACGCTAGTTTGCCGAGTGTTTTTTGTCGGACACTCGGCAAAGACTTTGCCGAGTGCCCAAAATACACTCGGCAAACATTTTTTTCGAAAAAAAAACCACCACCGGCCGGTCTCCGCCGCCAAAAAAAAAAAAACACCACCGGGCGGTCTCACGGCCACGCCGGTCTCTCCTCAAGGCGCCCTTCCTCCTCGCCATGCCCACCACGCACGCCCTCTCGCCTCCCTCCTCGGCTTCACGGCCACGCCACGAGCCACCACCACCACGCCACCGCCCCCACCACCACCACGCCACCACCCGCCACGCCCGAGCTGCCACCACCGGCCGCCACCGCCGCCCACCACCACCACGCCATCACCGGCCACCACCACCATGCCACCACCGGCCGCGCCGGATCCGGGGAAGAGAGGGAGAGGAGGGGGCGGCCTCGCCGGATCCGGGGAAGAGAGGGAGAGGAGGGGGCGGCCACGCCGGATCCGGGAAAGAGAGGGAGAGGAGGGGGCGGCCGCCGGATCCGGGGGAGAGAGGGAGAGGAGGGGGCGGCCTCGCCGGATCCAGGGAAGAGAGGGAGAGGAGGAGGCGGCCGCCGGATCCGGGGAAGAGAGGGAGAGGAGGGGGAGGCTGCCGGATCCGGGGAAGAGAGGGAGAGGAGGGGGCGGCCTCGTCGGATCCGAGGAAGAGAGGGAGAGGAGGGGACGCTGGGGAAGAGAGGGAGAGGACGGGGAGGCACCCGGCCTGGGAAGGCGAGGGGCGCCAAGGGCCGGGAAGAAAAGGGAGCGACGCCAAAAGCAAGTCGACCGATGAAGAAGGGGAGAGGCGCCTGGGGAGGTCTGGGAGGAAGGAGGGTGGGGCCTGGTGTGTTAACGAAGATTTTTTGTTTGTCGAGTGTCCCGGATCTGGGCACTTCTCAAAAAGTTTTTTTTCATTTTTTCTCATTCTTTTCCAGAAAAAAAGATTTTATTTCTTTGCCGAGTGTTCTAGATCTGAACACTCGACAAACTTTTTTTTTCCTTCATTTCCAGAAAAAGATTTTATTTCTTTGCCGAGTGTTTTTTTACACTTGGCAAACCTTATCTTTGCCGAGTGTTTTTTTTACATTCGGCAAACCCCCTCTTTGCCGAGTGTTTTTTTTACACTCAGCAAAGAACTTGTACGTCGAGTGCCCGAGAGAATACACTCGACAAACATACAAACACTCGGCAAATTTGATGATTTCGGTAGTGGAAAAAACGGTTGTTTTATTGTCTTTCATTAACGTGTTATTCCAAAGCCAAATAACAACCAGATTTCAGGCTCGTTGCCAAACGGGTGTTTCAAAGGCAAAAATTATCCAAAAAATGAACATGCAGAAAATATAAATGTAAGAAAACAAAAAAAAAGGTTGAACAAGGAAGAATACTTACAACTATTTGAAACTTAATATAATGTACACCAAAACTAACAAACTGAAAAGAAACCTGCCAATGAAATTAAAAAGCACAATTTAGTGGAAAAAATACAGCAAAAAAGAAAAAATTTAAATACACTAAGAAAAAAAGGAAAATAATTCAATTGACTCCATATCAATCATTGACGACATGGGCAAAAACCATTAAAAACATATAGAACTAATATTTATTACAAACATAGTTCTAGATATAAAACTTGTTCAATTAATACAAACATAACTAGAGAATTCCATAAATAAACCTACAAACTTCAAAGCATTTCTTCAAAAAGAAGCCATACTACTCAAGAAAAGTTAAAAGGGAAAATCCGATGGCATCTAGCACTCTGGTAAGAGTCTTCTTCTACTGGACGAACACTGATACTCAAAACGCGATAGAACGACATCCTTTCGCCTGCAACCTTAAATGATCTCCTAGCCATCAGATTTGCATCCTCTTCTCCAGTCACCTTGACATACACAGTGCCATTATTCGAATCGTAGGCAAACTTACACATAGAAAGATAATGACCACCACGATTCTGCTTCAACACACGAGCAACTAATTTCAACATATTATCACTGGTCAACCCTTTAGCAGCAATAAGCTGAGATTTGTCTCCAACAACTAAATCAAGATTGTCCAAAACAAATAAAGACACTACTTCAATTTCTAAAGTAAATGGTACTACAGCTTCAGGAGCAATTGTATTGTTTTGAGAAACAACCTAGGAATTTTTTTTTAAAAAAAAGCATAAACAAAAAAATGATTAAACAAAAAAACAATCAAACATATACAAAAATAAAAAAACTCTTTGAAAATTAAGAGAAAAAGGTACCTTGATCCTTATTGAAATATCCATAAAAGCTCTGGAAGAGCCCGTCCTTTGCACAATACTTTTAATTGGATATACACTAATAACAATATCACCAACTGATATCCTCCACTTGCGAAGTTGAAAGGGAAGACGATCCAAATGAGCTAGAATAAAAACAATACCATCATGATCATCAACACAGAATTTGTTGTCATTCATCATCGTTCGCATTGTTATCGGCTTGCGCTCAATATATTTCAAAGCACAAGCAACGATGGACACATGATCAGCGGTTGGACTACTCAACCAAACTGCCATCAGACGAGACTGCTCACCAACAGTCAAACCCAAGGACCTCCATGACATAATAAAAAACAACCCTGTTCTCAAAGATACATGTTGCCATCTAAAAAAAATGAAATTAAATATGGCTGAACCTGAACGTATAACCTCAACAAGACTAAAACTGATACAATGGCCAACTGAATAACTGAACAACAAAAAGATAAAAAAAAGGAAACTATAAGCGCAACCACCACTGCTACATGGACATGACCTAATAAACCTAATCATAGCAGAAAAATATGGCCCATTGAGCCGAACAGAGAAGAAACCTCCTAGTCGGCTACTCCTAGTCCTCGCCATGGACATGGACTGTAACACCCTAGGTGTTACGAGCTTACGTAGCACCGAGATTGATGCCCGAGAGAAATTAACAAAACAAGTTCTTGAGTTTTAAAAAATTTAAAACACACGTGAAATGATAAACAAACCCTCTACGACTCCCTTTTATGGTTGAGAGAAATCAAATAAATATGTAAGTTAATTTACTCAGTGCGTAAATGTGCTAATGAAAATCCTAACAAGAAGAATAAAATCAGTAGTTTTAATTGTTTGGTACGAAAAATGATTTCTATAAACAAAAATAAAATATAACTTGTGTATAGTACTTAAGTAAAGATGATAAGCAAGTGGTGTAGTTGAAAATGCAACCTTAATTTTTGAAAACAAATGTTGTTAACTAGTGTTCTTGAGAGCTCAAAAATTGAATCTGAAACTAAAAATCAGCCTTTTCGTTGAATTGGCAAGAATTTGAATTTATGTTTAAAATGTTATTTTTGGCGAATTATATTGAGCAAAATAGTTAAATGGTGCTTAAGTATTTTGTTCCTATGTTTTAGTGTAAAGTATGGGCTATCGCATGTAGCAATTCTTGGTTGAAGTTAATAAGGTACAAACCTCTTAAAAATTATGGCAACAAGTGTTCCTGGATGTTAAGTCCAATTGAACCATTATCTTTTCTAAGTTGGAAAAGAGTGTTGGACAATGCTATTTTGGCATTTGAGTTCTAACTAAAATACTTAAACACTAGTTTCATGATTTGGTGTTGTTGGTTGCCTCTAAGTGAACACTTGATCAGGGTGTAGGTCGAAGTGGTGATGAATGTCACTTTGCTCGTTTTAAATTGGCTCGAACCTCCTTAGAATGCGTTGTGTCCACGCTGTTAGTGCTCCATTCATGGGCCAGCGCTTAGCATGATGAACCCACATCAGCACCTCTCTATCTCCCTCGCTGGTCACCCTCCGACCGTGCTTGTTGCCTAGATACGAAGCCCTTAGGGTCTACCAGAGTCTTGAGCTTTTGTTTTAATCTCAACCGAGCTCTAATCGGTTGATTTTTACGCTTTAAGATCTATGCATGACATCGCCTCGGGCTGGCTGGTCGGGTGTGTGAGGTCACCGCACTCGGGGTGCGACGTCGCGTGTTGGTGCACCCATCGCCGCACGCGCGCACCACATCGCACGTGGCCTTGCTGGTGGTCATCTCGTCGCCGCCCCGTGCTACGCGACGGGCTGAGCCAGCCACGACCACCGTTGTCGAGCCAGCCGAGGCTGTGGCCATCATTGCCATGCTCGTGTGGCAGTTGCCCTTCCCTGCGATTCACCTACTGCGGGTCCGTGTCGCCGCTTGTCGCGTCTGGGTCAACCGACCCCAGCTACAGGGTGACGGTGATGCCTCCCTGCTTCGCCCTGTCCCACTAGCCGATGCCGGTGAGCCGCTCGGGCCTGGCTACTGCATTCAAGTGCTTCGCGTGCTGGCACCCTTCTTGGCTCCGTCTAAGCACTAACCGACACGCCTCCTGCCCTCGCTCGTGCGGCCATGTCCCCGAGTTGTCGTACCCTATCGGGTCGTGACTGGGTCACCTTTGCTGGGGCCGCGTCGCGTGATGTAGCAGTGGCGATGCGCTGCCCTCGCCCCTTCATAATCACCAACTCAAGCCCTCCCAGCCCAATTCATTGTACCAGTGAGTAATATGGAGAGTTACCTAGATGCCCCACACTCGTCAGGTCCAGCGGTGGTCTAGCCATGGCCAATTTTAGGTTTTGCTCGTCGCCGGCCATGAGCGCTGTCGCAGTATGTGGATTGGGGGTAAGGCATGTTGGAGCGGTAACAGTTCAATTGCTCGTAACCCTGAGTTTGCCTTGACTTCCTCCATCCAGTGCTCGCGCTATTTTGCCCAAGTTGCTCATCGTCGGTGGGGTGACGCGCTGGTGTCCATCTCAGAGCTTTGCTGCCCCGCTCGGTCATATGTGGCTAGCCCTGTTCGGACCGCCTCTAACTGAACCATCACCACAGGTAAGCTCGCTGTAAGCTGCTCATGCTCACTCGCTCACGCGTTAGTCCTCTGGTGGCTCTAGCTTGTCAGAACTGGCACGCCATCGTCGCAGATAGCCGCTCGCCGCTGCAACTCGTGCCAGTGCGTCTCTAAGCCCCTAACTGCCACCCATCCTCTCGTGTTTAGCCGTAGATGGTAGTCGGCCTCTTACTTTCATCGTAGTGAGTCTGGTTTGCCCAGCGTAATCGCATTAGGCCATCGGCCGCCACGCCGGCGCGCGTGGGGATCCTAGGGATCTCCCCGTAGTAAAGGTGAAAACATCCGAGGGTTTGGCTGCAAGGTTACTGATGGTAGAAATAGTGCGCATAGTAGTCGTATTAATCTCTGAAAGCCACCGCCGCACGTGGGCCTCCCGGCCTTGGACCATGTTGGGCCATCGCGACCTGCGTGAGGCCGCACCCGCGCTAGGCTGCCGGGCCAAAATTGGTTGCGGCCAGCCCTTTTCCTTTTTCTAAGCATTTTCTAATTTAGTTGCAAAGGCAAACTTGTAAATGCAATATAAATTTGTGAACTTGGCCAAAAATTATAAAACTAATTTTGTTAGGTTCCTAAAATCATGATCTATCTGTTAGTATATTTTGTTCACATAGTTTTATAATATTTTCAGGAGTTATCTAATTAATTTGAGATACTTAATATTGTAAGATATAAACCTATAGGAATTGTTGTGATAAATAGGTTATAGTGTTGACTCTAAAACTTTCACAGTAAATTTCTAACATTATTAGGTGCTCACTGTAATTTTTATAGCTCCATAAGAATTAGTTTCTAAGATAGCTAAATGAGCCCTAGTACGAATATATGTATTTAATCAACAAAATGCCAAAACACCTTAGGGTTGTAAAACTAAAACATTTTTTTGGAAACGAAGCCTTACTTAACAACGCGGATACGTAGCCTAGTGCGTTAGTCATTAGAGCTAGCCCGTTAGCTTGCGAAGCGTAATAGTATTTTTAGGGTGTGGTTGCCATTTGTTAATTACGTTTTCTGCGCTACATCTGTGAATATGGTAATAGGAAAACGATGGATCTGGAGTCGATCGAAGTAGCAGGAGGATGGTGCCTTGGTGATCGTGTCGCCATAGTAGAATGCAAATCCTTGGTTATATCTTGCCCAGGCAAGCTCCGGTGCATAACCCATATTATTCTGCACTTTATCTTATGCTTGTGCATTAAGTTTGAAGGAGTTGAATGAAATCCACTTCCATATATATATATATATATATATCATTATCCTATGAGTCCTACTAGTATGTAAGGATCATATAGATTGCTATGCTAAAGGATTCCGGTAGAAGTCGAGTGATTACATGTCACTCGCGAGAGATAGGAAAGACATTATTGTTCTTATTATCATATAACTATCACATAGAATATATATAGATGATAATTAGAGACCGGGCGAGACTGTGCTTTGGATTTGGATTTGGACTTGGTTAGGCAACCGAGCGAGGCTCCGGTTGCATTTGTCCCGCCTATGTCGATTGAGGACCGTCCGTTGCTGTGGATGGTAGCCAGGTCACAGACTTATTATCCTGAGCACACACTTGCTTATGGTAGCGGGAATGCTCGTTACGCTCTTGTCGTGGGTTCTGACTCATTCTAGACCGGCGGGAAAGGTGGAGGTCTAAGCACCATGTTGAGACCGGGGCCCAAGTTTAGGGGCTTGGAGTCCAAGTTTGGACGGGGACCTGGACCCCTTGACAGGAGTGAAACGGGTTGGTCTTATTTATGCCTGGTGTACGAGTGAGGTGTGTGTTTTGGGGTACCCAGCTGGGATACATTGATTCACAAATCGCCGTTTCTGTGAAACGGTGCTGACTTGGCTATGGTCTAACACCATAGTAAGAACTGGAATATGAAAGATGATAAAATAGTTCTAATTGCTCACCACCTGCTTGAAAGTAGCATAGGTGCTTACATAGAATTGATAGTTAATGGACTAATGATGACTGTTAATAAAATTTAATATAAGAACGCACGTTTAGTGGTGCTTCCGTAGATGCAATAACCCACAAGCCAAATAGGTCTTGCATATCCTTAGAGTCTTTTATTTTTCTCATGTCGGGTAAGTCTTGCTGAGTACAATCGAGTACTCATGGTTTTATTCCCCCTGTTGCAGGTGACCGATGGATGGTAGATGACTTTTTTGTGTGGTAACCTCCAGATAGGCTCAGAGATAATTCCTTTTACGCTACGACCATAGTGTTTATTTATAACCCTTACTAAAAGTTTTAGAATTTTTTTTTATGATTCACCATTAATCTTTATTTTCGCTGTAGTTCTGATCATATGTTGTTCTCCGTTGCAAGATAAAAATGTAAACCAAAAATATATAAACTCTTTTACTTGTAAAATTGTCTTAATTCCGCTATTGCATTCAACTTGTTTAAGTACTCTAACGTTGTAATAAAGTGATAAAAGAAATGGTTAAGAATGTTGTAAACTTTATTCTCTCATTTATGATCCTGATGAAAAAATGTGGATTTTTAAGTTTTTCTTGGGGTGTGCTCGACGGAACAGCACGATTTAGTGCACTCTCTTGGATACTTAGTGTCTAATTGAAGACAAGTACTCTTGGGAGAGCATTAGATTAGGCGGTTATGCCACATGGACCATCCTAGAGCTAGAGCTACAGGCCTAGAGCTCGCTAGGTTATCCAAAAAGAGAGGCAAAACAAAAGCGAGGCCTGGCCTGGGGGATCAATCTGACAACAGGGACACTTCCATAATAACATCTCCAAAGCCACCATTTTTAGCTAATTTACAACGTATAACCTGAACAAGAATAAAAATGAAAACTGCAAATACATAAAACTGAAAACTAAACATAAAAGAAATACTGAAAATAAAACTGACAACCGAACAAACTAAAACTAAACAAAATGGACTGAAAACTAAAATAACAATAACAACTCAACAAACTAAATCTGAACAAAAAAGACTAAAAATACTAACAATACATATGTAGATGCAGTCACTAGGTTTCATCAGCTACAGGCAATACATATATAGATGGATACATATATAGAAAACAAAACAATTCCATGAGCGCAACCATCAAATCACACAAGACAAGTTAGGTACGCATGATGCGCCTCTTATTACAAGCATCTGGTCTGATCCCTCTCGAACAGGCTAGGCTAAGGTGTGAGATTGATGACAGCCAGACACACACAGACACACGGAAAAAATAGCTAATTTAGTGCGGCCACGTGCATGCACACGACAGCTAATTTAGTGCAAGGCTCTAGGATTTAGTACGGCCTCAGCTAATGAAATCTAAGCAAAATGATTCACCCGAAGATATTAGCCATAGCGCCATCCTCGTTACAAAAAGATATCTGAATTTTTAAGAGCTCTAAAAATTATTTAATGCATGCAACATGCAAAACTGAAACCCCAAAAACTTGGTGACTCAAACTGTTTCTTAACTATGTGTCAGTTTAAGGAGTCAATTAAACATTAACTAAATATAAAAATTAACAATGTCAAACTCAACATATCTGCTTAATACTGAAATTACTGCTGAACAAATTTACTGCAACTTACTACTTGGATACTTGAACCACAATGGGTTCAGTTACTTTACTTGAAACTATAATACTGGAAAAAAGACCTTTCAAAAAGCAGGCCTAGGGATCAATCTGACAACAGGGACACTTACATAATAACATCTCCAAAGCCACCATTTTTTTTTGCTAATTTAAAACCTATAACCTGAACAAGACTAAAATTGAAAAATACAAATACAAAAAACTAAAAACTAAACATAAAAGAATGATTGAAAATGAAACTGACAACTGAACAAACTAAAACTAAACAAAAATGAACTCAAAAAACTGAAACTAAACAAAAATGGCTGAAAACTAAGCATAAAAGAATTACTGAAAGACAACTGAACAAAATAAAAATGAACAAAAATGCGCACACACACGCGTTTACTGAAACATAACAGTCTTCAGGAAGCAAAACAATAAAAAAAACTGCATGCCATTTGCAGTTTTCATATCTCAACACATGTAAACAATGATAGAACGTTAGCTAACACACACAAAAAACAAAAAAAAACATATAATAACTAAAATCAGGAACATGAATCAGGGACATGAATCTAGATCTGAATCAGAGACATACCTTCCTTCCAAACCCTTTAGATGATATCCAAGAGAGAGGTATGCATATCTTCTCACCATTCCAACACTCTCCACCTAGAGCTAGTTGTTGCAGTAATCCATCATGTGAATCATCATGAAATAGTTCCTCATCCCACACCACCTAGCTGATGACAAGCTCGACACTTGGTGTGTTCTCGTCACCACTCATGTGCTCTCAAGAATGAGCTCATTGCTGTAGTAACCCACCGTATGTGTTGATCTGAGATGACATGTCATCATCCCATATGACTTATGTTGGATGCGTTGCAGCAAGTTCTTCAGAGGAAGCAATACGAGGCATCCCCGATGACATTAGCAGATGTTTTGAGTGTGATGCTTCCACTTCCTTGAGAGGTATTTCCTCAAAACATTTGATCTATAACCATTACTCCAAGCTCTGGATGTGCTAATGAGTAATCAACATCAATGAGACTAGTGTTACTGACCTGCACAGCAACCAAATTGATCTCTTCACACGTTGACATGGTATGTGCTACAGACAACTCTTGATTAATCCATGTTGTGTTGTTGTCCCAAAGAGGCATATCATCGAACATTTTGTAGGCAACTGCCTCAGGCATCGCCACAACAACAGAAACGTCACGAGCAAGAAAAAACCTGGTCTGTATCCTTGGATTGGATAGTGGACCAATGTGCTGAACCGAAGGCTTCGGAGGTGTCGTGATGCTCACACTGCAAATCCAACCAATGGGGAGAAGGAATTACAGGAAATCGGAGTCGCCCAGTGTGGAATCGACCCAATCTCGACCAACCTAATCCATTTATCGGTTGAGATCGACGGAATAGCTGCAAGCACACGTACCTGACGAAATCGAAGAAGAGAAATAGGTCTATCACCACCAAACGCCGCCAATATACACCGCCGCCGTGCACCCCCAAAAGCAGACGAAAAACTTGGGTAGAAGGGAACCCGCCGACTGGAGAAGTCATCGCGTCTCCGGCAGCCAACCCGAGCTGGATCGATGGAGCCGCTGCATCGAATCGGGGAGATCCGCCGCCGCCGCACCAGTTCGTGCCGCCACTGGTCCGGATGAAGAAGAGCCGATAACTAGCGTCGGAGCAGGAGCAGACGCTACCCACTACCCCCACGTCGAGGAAGGCCGACATGTCACAGAAACATACACACCCGCACGCCACAAAACAGATCGGACACTTCACAACATCACACGGCACAGATCGAACGGACGAAAAAATGGTTACTGAATGACATCGAAATAACCGGGCAACATATAGCATTCCTGAAAATATATATCTGCCTTGTGCGGCGAGCTTACATACTTTTTACGCCAACGTGACAGATAATTTATGTTTTAGTACTGTGTGTTGCTCAGCACCTCGATCGGAAGCGATGGCTACTGTCGCCCCTTAAAATTATTGTACTTGTGCCAGTGCCACGTCAGCTAGCTCATAGCAATCCATCTCAGCATCTCTCTTATGTCAAGGAGAGAAGATAAAAAAACACAAAAGACTATTTCTTATCTCAACATCTGTCTCGCTCAGAAAATGAGGTAGTTTCTAGGCCTGCTCATAAAGAATAAGAGAGAGAGGAGAGAATATATAGAATAAAAAGTCATATACATGTGGAGTTCACATAATGAAGTGGCAATGACATGGCATGTATGAGCTAGCTGCTATCTCATACTGTTGAGGACGCTCTCAATATATGGACCTCGTGGACACAAGATGCTTCCTAAGGAGGATTAAGAGCATCTCTACTAGATCGGAGGCGTCTCAAAATCAATTTCAGTAATATAAAAGTGTAATGTTGCAACATATTACTCAAAACTTATCCTTTGTATTCATTCTTACCTGTGGGGCCCACGTGTTGTGTCATGGTCGAATCCATCTTCCTTCTTCCTCTCTACATAATGCTTTTCCATGGCTCATCATACTTCTCTATGGCTAGAACGGACGGGCGGTTGTCGGCTGGGCACCCTTACACGCTGACTAATGGATGGCTGTGCTAGGTCGGACCTCAGGAGCTCAGGCGGCAGCACGAACTTTGGAGCATGGCGAACAGTGACACGAGGCATGTCCATGGGTGCCTGGCAAGCGGTGGCGCGAGGCTTGGCCACAGGGCACCCAATGCCTGGCAACGAAGCCTTGGCGAATCGATAGGCAAGCACTATCGTGGGGCCGTGCGTGGAAGTCTGGCTAGGAGTCACGAATAGGAGATGTCCCAATGTCTCCTTTCTTCAGGAGAGAAAATGTGGATTTTGAGATATCTCAAAATTTTATTCTCCTGTATTACAAGATTTTAAGGATATAGGAGCAGACAAGAAATCTGGTAGAGATGCTCTAAGGTCTAATTTGAAAGAAGGTGATGACAAATCCTGGGATGGAAAATAGCCCGTAAAGAATTACTTATTCAAATAATTTTTCTATAGATTATCCTATGAAAAATCTGAAATACCAAGGGGATTTGAGTTTCCAAACGAGGGGTTTCACCGACGCTAGGCATTTCTTGTAGTATAGGCTGGCATGAGTGTTAGATCCAAAGAAAAGTAAAAGACTATCTCAATAAGAGAGCGAAAATTTGCCATGGATTATAATTTTTCTTGCTTTATAATTTACATCTATGAACTCTCAGGTGATCACCCGAGGCCTTTAACTTCTTTTTAAGCGGTTCATTTTAAGTTTACTCTATATCTAATCATAAACCTTAGGGATACATGGTGGCAGGTTGTCCATGAACAGTAAATAGGTTTAATTATTGATAACAAAACCTATTTAACTTGCACTTATAATGGATCTGAATTCTCATTTCGAACGAACCATTTGAAAATAGAAAAAAATCCAGATTTTCACTTTGAAAGTTTATGTATTCCTACCTAGGCCTTGTTTGAATGCGCATGTATTCATCTCAATCCACGTGTGTTGAAGTAGATTGGAGTGGAATTAAACTAACTTTCATTCCACTCTAATACATGTGGATTAGAGTGAATACACATGCATCCAAATAAGCCTGAAAAGTAGGCGGAGAAAAATTATGAACCTACAGTGCATGCTTGTCCACTCTGTTGCGTCTCTGCAGAAGATGACTTCTGTGGTCCGGGAAAATGCGCGTCAGGACTCAGGACATGCATGGTTGGATGACCGTGGTCCCAAATACTAATCCTTTTCATTCTGTCCAATGCAGGGTGCTTCTGTTGTTTTGCGCCTTAATTATCCCTTAGGCGCATCTACTCTGACTCATTCTCATTAATATTCTCCGACAGTGTCCGTGTCTTTGCAAAAGCAGCTGTACTACATACTCCTACACTGCAATGTACCCTGTTCAAACAAGACAACGAAAAATAGCACTTGACAATCATTTAAAACTCGTACTGTACGTACGCATCTCCAGGTTGTTCCATCGATGTCAGGCACAAATCACGAACAGCTCTAGCGCGAAATGTCCTTATTGATCCTCTCTAATCATGCTCGCATTGCTGAAGTTACGCTTCACCTTTTTTTGAGAACAGCCGGAGCTTCATTCATTGATCATGAATATGGTTACGCTTCACCTAATCAGCCTGTGATGTGGCTAGATGGCTGACACGGGCTACCTTCCCGGGCAACTCGGACCGGCTCCTCCTTGGGCTGCGTCGGAAGCCCAACTAGGCCAAGATAGTTTAATGGGCCGGTAAGCCTGGCGTCATAACACGGCCTGGCTTTTTGCTAACGAACGTTAGTTAGGGTGAACGACTTATGGCTGGTGAGGCGTGTACAAAACAAGGGGCATTGCAACAATGATATTAAATTTATTTTTTATTATATATATGGGGAGAATCTATGTCCCGTTCGTTTGCCATGGCTAAAAGTACTGTTGGTTGATTTGTTGTGAGAATAAAATATTGTTCGTTGGCTGAAAAAGTACGGCTTATAAGCCAAGCGAACATGGTGCTAATATGGTAGCTTCTACTAAGGTTCTTGTGTCGCCCTAGCGTTAGCGTTGCACTATTGCTTGGGCTAGGCACACCCCAACCAATTCAATATTTGAAAGTTTGATTTAAAAAATTCAATAGCTGAAAGTTTGATTTATTCAACCATGAGCCAAGAAGGATTTATTGCTGTCCAATTGTCTGGGTTATATATGGCCCCGTTCGCTTGTCTTAAAATACGGTTTGTTAGACTTCTTTTTCAGTCGGAACAGTGTTTTGGCTTGTTTTTTCGGTCAAATTCAGCCAAGCGAACGGGGCCTATGGTATATATTTCAATGGTAGAAGACAGTGTAACTGGATTTTTAATTAAAAATACTAAATAGAGTTTATATGTTTAAGACCATTAATTAAGCATAAAAAAATTATTAAATGTTCTATATCTTATTCAATGACAGAATGTTAGGGGCCTCTTCAACGGAGAGTGTGCATCGTGAAGGACTACAACGGATGGGAATAAAAAATGGAGTTTAGATATGTTTAAAACCATTAAGGCTAAAGAAAGGTAAAGGATGAATATCAGTCTCTTGAACGGAGGATATATATCGTGTGTAGGGATGAAAAGGGACCGATGAATAATTCCCGTCACACTTTCTAATTGTGTGTACTGTTTTTTTTAATGTTATTATCCCTTTCGTATTCATGTTTATGGAAAAATATGGGAACAAGACGTGGAACGGAAGAAGAGGGATTTTCATATTTTTTTTTGTGGGATCATATTTTCATTATGTTTTGAATCTATATGGTACGTACATGTTAACGTGTTAACAGGCATGACATATAAGTAAATATTAGACTAGTCACTTTATATATGTATACTTTTGTGTGACTTCATACATGTATATTTGAGAACATTAGATCAGGTGATTCAAACTTTTTGTTTTGGCTTCTCATTCGTATTTGTCCGTTCAATATATCTATAATCTCGTTTCTCATCCCTACTTTTCTGAACAAATCTATTTCCTCAAAAAAAAAAACGGGATTGGGAGCAGAGTTTTCCTGCCCGTTTCAGTTTATTTTCATCATCTCGTGTGATTATTAGGTAGACAATGAGCAAAGTCTATGGTAAGTCTATGCATGCTATCCATCCAGGCCGGGCATACTACTATCTAGTAGACAACGAACAATAGTACTTGACCAGAATTCACGCCCGGCCTCCAGGGAGTTCCATCGATGTCAGGCATAAATCACGAACATCTGTAGCGTCAAATTGTGCCTACTGATCCTCTCCAATCAGTTCGTGATGTTGCGGGATGGCTTTTTTGCTTTCGGAACAGCTCCGACGGGCTCCTCCTCGGTCGACGCGGGAAACCCAGGCCAAGATAGTTTAATGGGCCGGTAGCGCAGCCTGGCGGCCTGTCTTTTCTTTGCTAATAACGAACCTTAGCTAGGTAATAAACATGTTTCTCAAAAAAAAAAAGTTAGGTAATAAACATCAGCTGAGGAACATGAATTAGTACCACATCGAAGGGTGAATGACATATGGCTGGTGAGGCGTGTACAAAACAAGAGGCACGGCGACAATGCAACTCATACCTTTCTCAGCCTTTTGGCTAAAATCAAGTGTAGTACCTGTTCTTATCGGTTTAATATCTTGCCCACAATAATATTAAAATTATTTTTTATATGGGGAGAAACTATTATGGTAGCTCTTGTGTCGCCCAAGCGTTGCACTATTGCTTGGGCTTGGCACACCCCTACTAAATCAATCGTTGAAAGTTTGAAATACATTTATTTCAGTCCATGAGTCAGGTTCTCTAAATTGGTTTACATTGGAACTCCAGTAAACTGTGTAATTCAACATTTTAATTAACACAATGGAGTTAATGATATGTTTAAAACCATTAAGGGTAAAAAATCAAAATGAATGCGGTAGAATTTGGATCTTATATCTCCTGTACAATATGAATATTACTGTTGTCTTGAACGGAGAATATAGAATATGTATCGTGTGATTAGGGATTACAATTATCAAATTCTATGCACAGTAATCAGTAATCATCCAGGGCC